ATTTGCTCTTTAAAGCAAAATGGTTTAATTTAGTGCTGAATTTATATCTCTCCAGTTTGGTATAAGATACTATTGCAGCAAATATATGTGTACATTGAGTTTTAACAGTCCTTGTTGGCGATTTAGTAATCGAAGTATTCTGTTTAAAACTCTTATGATACTCCTCAATACTCCACCGTTTTTTATAGATATTGAGGAAATCTTCACTGGTTAAATCCAGATTATTAGTAGCAAGGTATCTGATACCAATTGAATTGTCTTTGTTTATAAAGACCTGTTTGATTAAAAGTATCGGCAATTCGACATCTTTTAGCCAGACACGTACGGGCTTAAATGCTTGCAAATCTAATTGGCTTATATTTGTCCAGTTAGGTTTATTCCTATCGCCAAAGGTTGCTAGGCGATTGGATTTTAAATCAAATATAAAGTACTTCTTCCGTTGGTGAATGAACTTCATATTCTCACCAGAGGAGTACCAAGAATCAGCAAGAACATAACTGAACTTGATCTGATTCTTAAGTGACTGTAATATCTGCTTACGCATTAGCTCATTCTTCGTTACTGGGCTTTTGCATACTTCAGATTTGCTCTTGATTTCACAGTAAGTATACTTAGCTATGATATCAAAAGCTACAGGTATTTTTAATGGTTGCTCAATATTTTGGCTATAGTAAAAAGTTGTAAGCAGGTTTATACCTTTTACACTTTTACCAGTAGCATGGCCATGATGCCAGCATATAACCTCGTTCTCATCTGTATAAGGTTTATGCAGGATAGTATCATCAAATATTAAGCAATCATCAATATGCTCATGCTCTCTAACCAGAGATTTAGCAGTACTCCATAAAGCTTTACTGTCAGACTCATGGTTAGCTAGCATACGCGTTACCTGATCATGGGATACTGCTTTATCTAGTATGCTGGATAATCCTGTAGCTGTAGCCAGACCAGGTGTTATTTGTAAATAATCTGTGTAGAGGTCAAAGATATTCATTTGCGATTCGTCTTAATGTTTATTCAGAAACTAGATTTTACACAAGTTACGCAGATTGCTGCGTAACATCAGTTATTAAGATTGAAATTATATGATAGTTGAAATTATTTTCTTGACAATTATCAAATTTTTAGGTATATTATTGGTAGTAA